TGTATAATTAATTGAACAAACATATTAGAAACCGAGGGATAATCAAGATTCGTCGAGTCGTCTTCACCGTACGTCCTTCTGTCTGACCTTTACACAAGTATGAATCGTATAATGGCGTAGTCTGTAGTCTCTTTGGCGTAGACTCTTTCACACAATTTACAAACCAGAATGGTGTAGTCTGTTCTTTCACATAATTTACAAACCATTATTATGTTCACATATTCACACCCCCAATCTTGATGACAGTCGTATTCGAGGAGACATAGAGTGGAATAAAATGACACAGCCATTTCAATGTCGATTTCAGCAAACAACAAAGCCAGTAAACTGAAAATCCGTTCGTGTCGCACGCGGTACTCAACAATAATTATCTGTTTACTGTTAGGGCTTTGAAGAAGCTGACGACAGACATATGAATTCGATTGGTACATTGTTCACCATACTCAATGTTTATTTTGAATCCACTTTGCAGCTAGTGTTTACAAATCTTTGTATTTCTATTACAATTCATATACGATCGTATTTATACAGTGATGTTATGAGTAGTTCGATATGTTGTGGTATACTTGGCTACTTTCACAGTGATTTGTCACTTTGCTAATCAGCCAAGGTTGCCCAGTGCTAATCGCCCGTGCCTACCATGTTGTGACGAAGTATAATAATATTACTTTTCACGTTAATCAAATCCAAACGTTTCTTGCCAATGATCAGCATTCCTGAGATAATAACGTTAAATTCATACAAAATGAGAGTACTAGATTGTAACGAGATTGTTTTCAAACGAAGCGAATTGTATTATTGTGTGTACAACATCGATATTACGTCATGTACTGCTATACTAAAATGGTCATATACGTTGTGGATTCAACCCTATAATAACATCGGAGACAAACAATAAACCAAACGTCATCATTGTTGTAAACCCGCCATTCACTCTCATTTCTAGACAAACATGTTTACTTCTGACTTAAAGAGATGTTTTCAAGTGAATTTCCGTTGTATCCAACGCTTAAAGTTAACGAGAATATAGAATAAACAGAGAATTGTAAATCCAATTTCCATACCAGGACGAGACGGGTACGAGCGATGTTGAAGCTGAGGACAAAGCACTTGCTGTTCGATGAAATGTGCTATTACGTGTCGGGATGACAGTCACTATTTCTAGTTATCAAGGAAATATATATTTCTATCCCAAATTAAACAATTAGTAATTATCAATATGGACAATACTTCACAACGACTAGTCTGACGGTCGACTAATCAGACGATGGAGTAATATTTCATAATTGTCACAATTATACGAACACAATAACCAATGCTGATATTATAAGTACATAAGTCCCGTTCATACTTGTAGCGGGCGCTTACAATCACCATGAGGAGCCGAGGTATGAATAGAGATGTTCGCAAATACTGTCGAATTACACATATATAATAGATAAATGTAAGTAACTCTATTATGATATGAACAAAGGACCTGTTCTCCATTACATACAAAAATGGACTGAATAGAATGCATAACAAGCCAAATGAAAGAACCCATAAAAATACATTTTTATTGCATGAAGTGTTTTATGTATAACGATGTAATACCATATTCATGCACATTTTATAATTATAAATGTGGTCTTTATTGTATTAAATGACGCATGGCGCAAAATACAGAATAATATTATTAAAAAAAATGTTATATAATAGTAGTCAAACCGAATTATTTACATCTTATCTAACTTTTAAAGCATTTCACGTAAAAGACAGACTAGTGATTTAGGGTCACGGGTTCAACTGCGTAAGACAACGAACTATTCAAAAACTGTCCATCTTCGATTTCTTGTAAATTATTCACCGGACACTTACGTTCATACGTTTTTCCCACTACTGTGTGAATTATTAAGCATCGTTCAGGCTTCAAGTTTCATTTGAAAGAATATGTGGATAATTTATCGAAGGAAGAAATGTCGCATTACAGCTCATAATATACTTGAACTATACGTATTACAATAGTTAATAGAAATGCCAATGTTACATACAGCCTTGTGCACCACAAGGATCCTGAGCCTGTACATCCAAGTGTATTTCAAACGAAGCGATGAATACTTAGTGTTGTATAATATTTTGTAACATTTACTTTGATACCACTGGCTTGGCATAATAATTAAATTAATATTGTATGTACCACTTCTCGGTTGTTAAATACATCGGGTGAGGGCAACCTTCTCCGGGGGCATTCTGCAAGTGACCAACTGATCTCGTTGTTATGAAAATCCCTACACACCTGAGCCATAGGTTAAAATCTTACTATTTCCACAGTTCTCGATCTTTAGCAAGACTGCTCAGGGAAATTATATCAGGACCTTCCATGCTGTGATGTTATCCCTTCATCTTCTCTTCATCAACCATGTCATCCAAACAGATCTAGCTGATGTCATAGACGATTCGTTTAGCGTGGCCAAACAGTTTGAGAATTTTACTTTCGATGACGGATTGGTTGTAGTTGTGTTGTTTATCTTACATCGTCAATTTTGACATGGTCGAAGGCTTTGGTGTTGGTCATAAGTCGCATTATGTGATTTTGAAAGGCTTTCAGTTACTGTAGTGCAGTAGACGTTCAGTTGACACATTCTAACGCAGATAAAACTACTGGAAAGATGTTGTATGCTTGATTTTAAGTGGCTTGGGATCCGTTTTGAAGTAAGTGCAGTTTTGTTATTAACATATAAGCATATATCATCAGCATAACTGCGACTGGAAAGGAATCTGAGAATCCTCAGTTTTTGTGGCGAGTCTTGTGGCGATTACAGCACTAAGTTAATAGGATTATGACTGAAAGTAAATCTCATTGTTTCACTCTTTTTTTAAGAATTGTCAGACCTGGAGGGCCAATATCTTTCTTAATAGAGACTTTTGAATGATCGTATGTGAGTTTTAGTAAATTTATGTATCTCTTGTTGATTCTTGTGCTCTCAAGACATTTCCATGGACAGGGAACCTTTACTCTAACGGAAGCTTTGGTGAAGTCAATGAAGCATATATTGACTGACATTCTTCCTTTACTACGATCTCCATCAATTTGACAATTTCTGATGCAATACAAGGCTGATAATAAAACATTATCCACAAATAATACTCACAATAGTATTGTGTGTATAATACTCCCATTTTCTTGTTCTGTATGTTTTTTTTACTACCCTCGACTTACCCCAAGCGGGCAATTATGTAATGAGAGTGGTTGATACGTGTTTAAACAGAGGACACTTTCAAAAGAATAAACACTCAACAATGTCAGATGCTTTTAAAAATCAATAAAAGCACAACAAAAGTTTCTTTTTTCCATAATTTAGTTATTTTTGTAATATAAAAATATTGAATAACTCCTATGAAATCCGTCTTTCCCCTTCTCTGAGCTCACAGTTCTTTACCACACCCTCTCAAATAACAATTATAGTTATGTGATTCAAGTTCATTGTCAAATCAAACTGATTGGTTTAGTTTGCCATGATTACGATTGTTAAACATTTTAACCACATTGCACGCAATGGTTGCTAGATAAAACATTTTTTCCGGATGCTGATTTCAAATTTGCAATGAGATCAACAAAAACATCGACACTCCGATACAGACATGCAACATTTGTATTAGTGCAGCAGTATGCCGACTTTGAGGGCGCAATTTACGCTGTCAGTGGTATGGCAGATCACAAGTCATCATAAAGATTCCCTTCCACCGTAAGGTTATATCTGCCTGTATTTGCTGGACACTATGACAGGTATAGCTTTGGACAAACAATGTGGACATTTTGAAGTGGAGTCACGGTAATTAAACAAATTACAAACACTAATTATAATTGTATGGATTCTGTTCCTATGAATATGTTAATTTGAAGAAACCTGTTCTATGAATATGTTAATTTGAAGGAACCTGTTCTATGAATATGTTAATTTGAAGGAACCTGTTCTATGAATATGTTAATTTGAAGGAACCTGTTCTATGAATATGTTAATTTGAAGGAACCTGTTCTATGAATATGTTAATTTGAAGGAACCTGTTCTATGAATATGTTAATTTGAAAGAACCTTTTTTCTATGAATATGTTCATTTGAAAAATCCTATTTCTATGAATATGTTAATTTGAAGGAACCTGTTCTATGAATATGTTAATTTGAAAGAACCTTTTCCATGAACATGTTAATTTGAAGGAACCTGTTCTACGAATACATTAATTTGAAGGAACCTGTATCTATGTATATGTTAACACAACGACTACTTATCCCAGTGAAACAATGACTACTTACCAAAGTGACACAATAAATACTTACCACAGTGACACAATAAATACCTACCCCATTGACACAATGACTACTTACCCTAGTGACGCAATGAATACTTACCCTAGTGACGCAATGACTACTTGCCCCAGTGACAAAATGAATACTTACCCTAGTGACACAATGACTACTTATCCCAGCGACACAATGACTAATTACCCTAGTGACACAATAAATAGATACCCCAGTGACACAATGACTACTTATTCCAGTGACACAATGACTACTTATCCCAGTGACACACTAAACACTTACCCCAGTGACACAATTACTAATTATCCCAGTGACACAATAACTACTTATCTCGGTGACACAATGACTAATTACCCTAGTGACACAATAAATACTTACCCCAGTGACACAATGACTACTTACCCTAGTGACGCAGTGACTACTTGCCCTAGTGACACAATGGCTACTTACCCTAGTGACGCAATGGCTACTTACCCCAGTTACACAATGATTACTTGCCCTAGTGACACAATGACTACTTACCCCAGTGACCTAATGACTACCTACCCCAGTGACACAATGGCTATTTACCTTGGTGACACAGTGACTATTTGCCCTAGTGACACAATGGCTACTTACCCCAGTGACACAATGGCTACTTACCCCAGTGACACAATTACTACTTAACCTAGTGACGCAATGACTACTTGCCCTAGTGACACAATGGCTACTTACCCTAGTGACGCAATGACTACTTACCCTGGTGACACAAAGATTACTTATCCCAGTGACACAATGGCTACTTACCCTAGTGACACAATGGCTACTTACCCCAGTGACAGAATGGCTATTTACCCTAGTGACACAATGGCTACTTACCCTAGTGACACAATGGCTACTTACCCCAGTGACACAGTGGCTACTTACCCTAGTGACGCAATGACTCCTTGCCCTAGTGACACAATGACTACTTGCCCTAGTGACACAATGACTACTTGCCCTAGTGACACAATGACTACTTACCATAGTGGCACAATGTCTACTTAACCCAGTGACACAATGGCTACTTACCCTAGTGACACAATGACTACTTACCCTAGTGACGCAATGACTACTTACCCTAGTGGCGCAATGACTACTTACCCCAGTGACGTAATGACTACTTACCCCAGTGACGCAATGACTACTTGCCCTAGTAACACAATGACTACTTGCCCCAGTGACACAGTGACTACTTACCCCAGTGACACAATGGCTACTTACCCTAGTGACGCAATGATTACTTACCCTAGTGACGCAATGACTACTTACCCTAGTGGCGCAATGACTACTTACCCCAGTGACGCAATGACTACTTACCCTAGTGACGCAATGACTACTTGCCCCAGTGACACAATGACTACTTACCCTAGTGACGCAGTGACTACTTGCCCTAGTGACACAATGGCTACTTACCCTAGTGACGCAATGGCTACTTACCCCAGTTACACAATGATTACTTGCCCTAGTGACACAATGACTACTTACCCCAGTGACCTAATGACTACCTTCCCCAGTGACACAATGGCTATTTACCTTGGTGACACAATGACTATTTGCCCTAGTGACACAATGGCTACTTACCCCAGTGACACAATGGCTACTTACCCCAGTGACACAATTACTACTTAACCTAGTGACGCAATGACTACTTGCCCTAGTGACACAATGGCTACTTACCCTAGTGACGCAATGACTACTTACCCTAGTGACACAATGATTACTTATCCCAGTGACACAATGGCTACTTACCCTAGTGACACAATGGCTACTTACCCCAGTGACAGAATGGCTACTTACCCTAGTGACACAATGGCTACTTACCCTAGTGACACAATGGCTACTTACCCCAGTGACACAATGGCTACTTACCCTAGTGACGCAATGACTCCTTGCCCTAGTGACACAATGACTACTTGCCCTAGTGACACAATGACTACTTGCCCTAGTGACACAATGACTACTTACCCTAGTGACGCAATGACTACTTACCCTAGTGGCGCAATGACTACTTACCCCGGTGACGCAATGACTACTTACCCTAGTGACGCAATGACTACTTACCCTATTAACACAATGACTACTTGCCCCAGTGACACAGTGACTACTTACCCCAGTGACACAGTGACTACATACCCTAGTGACACAATGACTACTTACCCTAGTGACACAATGACTACTTATCTCAGTGATGCAATGACTACTCATCTCAGTGACATCACGGGTACTTACCGCAGTGACACAATGATTTCGTACCCCAGTGACACAATGACTACTTACCCTGGTGACACAATGACTACTTGCCCTAGTGACGCAATGACTACTTGCCCTAGTGACACAATGGCTACTTACCCCAGTGGCACAATGGCTACTTACCCTAGTGACGCAATGGCTACTTACCCTAGTGACGCAATGAATACTTGTCCTAGTGACACAATGATTACTTGCCCTAGTGACGCAATGACTACTTGCCCTAGTGACACAATGACTACTTACCATAGTGACATAATGTCTACATACCCCAGTGGCACAATGGCTACTTACCCTAGTGACGCAATGACTACTTACCCCAGTGGCGCAATGACTACTTACCCTAGTGACACAATGACTACTTACCCCAGTGACGCAATAACCACTTACCCTGGTGACGCAATGACTACTTGCCCTAGTGACACAATGGCTACTTACCCCAGTGACACAATGGCTACTTACCCCAGTGACACAATTACTACTTACCCTAGTGACACAATGACTACTTACCCTAGTGTCACAATGACTACTTATCTCAGTGATGCAATGACTACTCATCTCAGTGACATCATGGTACTTACCGCAGTGACACAATGATTTCTTACCCCAGTGACTCAATGACTACTTATCCCAGTGATACAATGACTACTTACCCCAGTGACACAATGACTACTTACCCCAGTGACCCAATGACTACCTACCCCAGTGACACAATGGATATTTACCTAGGTGACACAATGACTACTTACCCCAGTGACGCAATAACCACTTACCCTGGTGACGCAATGACTACTTGCCCTAGTGACACAATGGCTACTTACCCCAGTGACACAATGGCTACTTACCCCAGTGACACAATTACTACTTACCCTAGTGACACAATGACTACTTACCCTAGTGTCACAATGACTACTTATCTCAGTGATGCAATGACTACTCATCTCAGTGACATCATGGTACTTACCGCAGTGACACAATGATTTCTTACCCCAGTGACTCAATGACTATTTATCCCAGTGATACAATGACTACTTACCCCAGTGACACAATGACTACTTTACCCCAGTGACCCAATGACTACCTACCCCAGTGACACAATGGATATTTACCTAGGTGACACAATGACTACTTACCCCAGTGACACAGTGGCTACTTACCCCAGTGATACAATGACTACTTACCCCAGTGACACAATGACTACTTACCCCAGTGACCCAATGACTACCTACCCCAGTGACACAATGGATATTTACCTTGGTGACACAATGACTACTTACCCCAGTGACACAATGGCTACTTACCCCAGTGACACAATGACTCTTGCCAAGTGACAATGCTCTCAGTGTTGTATTGGGAGCAAACATACGAGACGTGCAATAATACTAAGCCATGTTGCATTACATTGTAGTAGTTATGACTGACGTGTATACATCATGGGCATTCAAGGCACAGACAACGGTACAGTAGGTCTCATGCCACTAATTAACCAATGCCTAGCAAGAACCAATGACATTTATTAAATATTTTTTTCTCAGGTGCTCCCTGTTTGAGGGCGTAATCACCTGGGTCAGAGGTGAGACCAACATGTGGTCTTTTGTTTACTACTTTGCGGCTGTGTACCTGTGGGTTTATTCTGTGTGTATTTGGATGTTCTAATCTTGGTGTTTTTCCAGTGATTTCTCTTGGTGCAATCTAAATACAGTAGGTGTGTCTTGTTTACCTGAGATTTGCAAGAGTTTGAGCTGGCCAACATGTTAGTTTTTTTCATATGGTTGATTACTGGCATATTGATTTCCCATTTTTGAGCCATGTTTTCAACTTTCTTCATCATTTTCATATAGCAATCTCGTCATATGTTAACATTGTCGTCTATGGAAATTCAATTAGTGGTATGAGCCCTGTAGTGAATGATTTCGTAGCGTACTTCTCAATGTTGCCATTAGATGTCTATTGCGCCCTCTTTCATCATGTTGATATAACCTGACGTTTCAGGCAATATACTCTTATTCGGTAGCTTATGAAGTGTGTACATTTATATCTCGTTATCTACTTACAGTCAGAGAGTAGCGCCCTCTATAACATATTATATATTTGTATTTAAATATATAAAAACATAATTATATGCGTGAGTGTTATTTATTTAAATATTTTATGCAGTATTCAAACACAATCCGTTGAAATTCGCATTCTCACCATTTAAAATATCGGACATATTCAGTTATATGTGCTTCGAGTACGGAGTTACACTAATTCATAACTTATTTTATTTGTGTTGAAGGATTGGTAACGTACATACTTAAATCATCATCTTAAATAAATCACATATCATGATTCTTAAGTCCATGTCATAACATTTGGTAAATCACAAACAAACTCATTAGTTCAACTAATTGCTCATTGACGTCACCAAGTTGTCAACATTGTGATATGTTAATTCTGATTACACATTCCAGTGGAAGATGACCGGATATTGGTAATCGATTGTTATAAACTAGTCATTATCGTATGCGGTGCCTGCTACGCTCTGTCACGTATTTCAGAGAGGAGCAGATCTGAATATCTAGTCTTTGGCAGTGATTGGCAATATTTTATTGTCTCAGACCTGAAACTAACACACTCATTTGCAGCTTAAATATTGTTATTTTTGCTACACTTTTTTTTTAAAACGAAAGATGTTTATTTTGTCAAATTGAAACATAAACACGCATTTGCAAACAATACTTATAGAAAATAAAAAACACACACCGCAATTCAGTTTTTTTGTGTATAATATAAACACATCATGGGCGCAATTATCTGTTTATATATACATTGAGTGTAGTTTGCATGTTGTCGTGTGAAATGTATTACATGATCAATTTTAGACAATATTGAGGGCGGTATGTAGCACGAGTAGTTCCTGATTTTACTGGCATCTGAAATAACCGTATGTTGAGCCAGTTATTCGGATTCTTCATTGATATATATATATACTAAAACACGATTAATTTCAGACTTTATTCCATTTTGCGATGGCTGAATCAATTTTTTTTTATCTCGGACTGCGGAAAATAATTGAAAACGTAAATATTTGTTTGGATACATTTTTTTAATTTTGAATAGTCATGACATTACATCACATATAATCACATTACATTACATCACATTATATTACATTACATTACATTACATTACATTACATTGTCACATACTTAAAAAGTTATAAAAGTAAAATAACACTTTTCAACATATCATTATGATTACATTTCATTTTATTTTTACCCCCTTTTCTAATTATCGGAAACAAAATAAGTATTTTTGAAACTCTGGTACGAGTTTAATATTGGTTTGTGCCATTGGCCTTGTCTCGGTCTAACAAACAAAGATAAGCTAATGTGACATCCGAGCTCACATTCAGGAGTTAATCCATTGTTGTACAGAACTCTATATGGAAGTAAATGATGTATACAAAGCAGAAAGTATATTTATGCATATAGTACGTACACACAAGTAACGAAAATTGAACTTTACTTAACATTCACGAATTTAACATTTTAACAAAAATAACAGTTATGATATAGTGTGTTATCGTTTTACTAACATTGAGATTGAGATGTACCGCGCAAACATCGACTCCGATTCAGAGACTTCACGGGCGGCCTATATATACATTGCTTATTGGAATTAACATGGAATGAACGTCGTCGACGTACCACCAGCTCATGTAGAACATAGTTAAAGAGGTCGTAGCTGCCGCATTTTCTGACAATTACGCCCTATTTGTGGTACTGAATGGACACGCATGGGGTAAAGTCTTACGATGTTCATACTACACGTATGGAAACAGCACCATATATGGTACGTTTGGTAAACAATGCGACAACAATTGTGAACAATGCTGCTGATGTCACTGTAATATGTGGAATTTACTTGATTTTAATTCCGTTCGATGCTTCCCGTTTGAGTATATGTTGCAGATAATTCTTGACGTCCATGGTTAACGGGGAGTTATAGATCGGAGATAAAGTGGTTTCAAGTTTCACAAACCTTCGGTCATGAACGGCCCTCTGCCTCAACGAAGATCTCGTGCCATCCGACATTGCTGTCCGCGTGAAATGGGTCCCACTCCTGGTCCCAATGGGAGGTAAGGAAGTCATCGCTCTCCTCGGAAAACTTAAAGTGAGGTCGGGCGTTGGTAGCTGAAGAGGGGGATGTGGCTCGGTTTTGTACAACGGAATTCGACTCGACAGTTCATTGCCAACGAGCTCGACGTTTGAGTGGGTGCTGTACTCATCCTCTTCTTCACTTTTCACACGACGATGCCTTCTCCTGGAAGGATAGATCTGTTCGACAATAGTTCTATATGCGACTACTTTATCGCTCATTTTTGCACCAGTAGATTTACTCTGGACGGATACGTCGACTCCCTTCAGTAGATCTTTCATCACGCTCGTTTTTCTCTGCTGTTTGTCTATAAATGCTTTCCTCTGTAACTGAACTTGAACTATGAATTTGTACCGTTCCTTTGACAGATCGTATAGTTTAGACTCCAGCATCCTCTGTTCCGTGACGTTGTCCTTCAACTGGGCACCGATCATCAAGGTGGTACCATCCTCGTTACAGCTAGCCCAATCCTTGATATCCTTCATAACCGCCGTTTTGCTTTCAGATCGTGGTTTCGTCATGTTTGACACAATATTGATCACCACATATCTATAGACAATATTTATTCCGATAAGTAGTGGCTGATGACTGGTGTCGCCATGGAAATTACTCAGGTTCTAGAGAGAAAAAATTGTTAAAAAGAACATATATGTAAAACAATCTTCTAGAAATCACTGAACAATTATAATCCTAGGCAGCTCCATGGCGAACTGTCGTTTAGTGCCTCTATATATTACACCACAGTGTTGCTCGCTAAACCCGGCGCATGCGCGGTACGTTGTGTAAAAACAATAGAAGAAATTGTTGACAAGACCATAAATATAACAACATGTTTATTTCACCGGTATGAATCTACAACAAATATTTGTTTTTTTCCGGACGATGTCTTTTTTGCAGATCTCATCAAATAAAACAGTTAATGCCGTATTAAAGATGTATAATTTATGAAATATATACACGCGATAAAATATTACCGATTTCCTAGCGTCGTCATAGTTACCAATATAATAGCTCTTTCCAACGATCGACGTATTAAGACTTCACTCTACATTGAACTATTTTTGAATTGATCATACTGAATTGTTTGTTCAAAATGAACACGTGATATTATATCGGCACGCCTAAATACACCAGCATGATGTCCTTGCGGGGAAATTAATCTACACGCTGTATCGAACATATCACAATGTATTCCGCGATTTTCTTGACAAATGTTATTTCCGCAAGCAATCGACAAGTTAAATAAAATACGCATAGCAAATCTACAGCTATGAAGCTTCATTAATTTTGTATGTTTTCTCGTGATCGACAAGATGGTTATGAATAAGACTAAATGAATTATTCAAAGTACGTAGAAAAGAATTCGTTTTGTCGTAATCGCAGCCAGACACCTGAACGACACTAACGACGCCACAGCAGTTAAATTCTTCTTCAGTTAAATTCTCGTCAAATAAAATTCACGGCTCAGCTACATTTCAGCCGATAAAACGCTGCTCAGAAAATGATGCAAAATGAGGGCACATTACAATTGGACACACCACCGCCTAAAAAAATAACAAATTATAAAAAACTAAAAGGTAATAAACAGGGGAACATTTCCTACCATTGATGAACATGATCAGTTACACGCACATTTATGGTGAAAGATACTCATTTTTATTAGAGTTGAATTGTATTGAGACCAAATACACTAGTGTGTCGCCATATACAGCCAGAATAATTGTCACTAGGGACAGTCGGTTTAACCATAACGCTGTATTTTGATCTGGAACAAT